TTTCAAAAAAATATTGTGGTTAACTGTGTCAAACGCTTTTTGTAAATCGACAAATATAACGGGTGATTTTTTAAGAGGTATAGGATTTGATTTAAAAAAAAAAAACACAAAAAAATTGAAAAAAACGATTAAATCTTTATTTGAGTCGATAGAACGGTTGATATAATTTAATGTTTAAAGATTATTTCATGTAAATGTTGGCCGCGGCTCCGCTTTAGATGGCCAATGCGCAAGGTCCAATTTTGGCACACTCTCTCCAACATATCGGCCGGTATCTCATGAATAAATGCTTCAATATTGGCTTCCAGTGCGTAAATCGTTGCTGGTTTACCTCTGTAGACATTAGCCTTAACATGGCCCCACAAGAAATAGTCCGTTAAATCACGCGATCTAGGCGGCCAATTGACGGGCTCCAAACGTGAGATAAACTGTTCACCGAACTCGCCTCTCAATAGGGCCATTGTTTCGTGTGCAGTGTGGCATGTGGCACCGTCTTGTTGAAACTACGTATACATGTCAGCCAAGTCCAGCTCTTCCATTTTGGGCAAAAAAAAGTTTGTTATCATCGCACGGTAGCGCTCGCCATTCACAGTTATGCATTGGTAGCTCTTGCAATGCTTCTGGCTGGTCTTCACGCCAGATGCGGCAATTTTGCTTGTTAACGTACCCATTCAACCAGAAATGAGCTTCGTCGCTAAACACGATTTTTCGATAAAAATGTGGATCTTCCTCCAACTTTGCCAGAGCCCATTCACCAAATTGGAAACGTTGTGGGAGGTCGTGTGGCTTCAATTCTTGCACCAGCTGTATCTTATAAGGTTTTACACCCAAATCCTGTCGCAAAATTTTCCACGTAGTGGAGTAACAGAGGCCCAATTGCTGCAAACGGCGGCGAATCGACATTTCACGGTCATCACTAACACTGGCGGATACAGCCGCAATATTTTCTTCAGTCCTCACTCTACGTCTGCGTGTTGCTGGTTTAATGTCCAAATTTAGTCACAAGCTTCCGAATAGCTCCCTCAGTAGGCCGACCAAATTGCCCATAAATTGGAAGCAGTGCTCGATGCACTCTCTTACCCGAGCATGAATTTTGATAGTAAAATTCAATAATTTGCAAACGTTGTTCGTTCGTAAGTGGATTCATGGTTAAATTGTAGACCAAACTGAACAAGTTTGATAATGACACAAGTCACGATTCACGCGTCATCTGTCAAGAACAGTGTTGCCAAAAAGATACTAGCAAAAAAATCACTTATTGCATATCGATGGTACTTTTCCATCCATATTTTGGATAATTTCATCTACTATACTTAATACCCCATCTGTTGTAGATTTGCCCGCTGTAAAGCCATATTGGTTTGAATTTAAAAGTTTGAATTTATTAAAAAAATTAATTATTTTTAAAGGAGTAATTTCTCAAAAACTTTAGCTAAATTTGATATAAGTGAAACAGGCCGATAGTGATATCCTTATCATCATTAGCTTTATAGATAGGTATGATGATTGCTGTCTTGAAAGCTGATGGAAATACTCCACAGTATCTTTAGATGTTCAGCTCTAATTTCGTCAACTCCAGGGCTTTTGTATTTTTTAGAGTCATAATGGCATTGAAAACATCCTGATAGTCTACTTCAGTTAATACAAATCAATTATTCAGTCTTATTTCACGCACATGAATGTCAGCATTTTGTTTTATATTATTTGACAAGTTTTCTCCTACATTCGTGAAAAATTCTATGAACTCATCACATATTTGCTGAATATTGTCTGTTTTCTGTCCTGTTTTTGTTTTTATTTCATTAATATTGTTTTTTGAATAGGATGACTTATTAACAGTAGACCATAGGTATCTAGAGTCATGTGAATAATTATTCAATTGTTTCAATAGGAATTTTTTTGCGTTTCTCAAAAGCTCTATAAATTTGTTTTTATACTGATTATAATGATCTATATTTTCTTCTGTGGGTAAATATTTAATGAGAATACTAACGAAGCAATTTCAAGGAAAGATACTGGGAAATGTCTAAATAGACCCGTATCTCCGTTTTGATACACATATACAATACGTTGTAAAACATGAGATTTCGTCATTAAAAATTCTATACAATTTATATATATATATATAAGAGTATATAATGCATTAGCCGAGAGTCATGTAAATTATCTATCATAATTTGAGGAGCAGCCAACAAAACTTACATTGATGCTCTAGAAAAAGCACAGAAACTAATTTTAAAAACAATACACAATAAGCCAATTACGTATCCAATGGAAACTTTGCTCGCTGAAGCTCAAATACTTGAAGAAACTATGTTTTTACTCCATGGCCACAGACCAACATAAAAATAATAAAATGAATCGTGTTTAATATAAGTATCTTACAAGAAATAGATGATATGCTTTACTAAAAAAAGAAAGAGCTAATTACTACGAAATTGGACATTTCTCACTTGAAATAATGAGACAAAACATTAACCAATTTAATAAGGAGTTAAATAAATGGATAATATCTGCTCCCCGATATGAAATTAATCGAGCTGTCTAACTAAAGAATACTTAGTTGGAAGAAACTTTTCCCATATTTCTGGAGCTAACAATTAATGTACTGCATTGAGAGATGTTCATTTATTCTTCAAATTAAATATTGAGATATTTCATTGTGCTTAGTTTCAAATTACGTTAATAAAAAGTATATGTTGCAAATGTACGTACACAAAACATGTATTGTAAATTCGCCTACGTTATTATTGAATGTGTTATGTGTTACCATTTAATGTATGTATTGTGAATAGTCACATAGCTCATGCGCAAGGAATTTGTATTCCTTTCTATGGGATCGTTCATATTTATTAGAATGTTCTTTGTAAACATTTTGAATAAAATATTATTATTATTAATTTATACTAGGTAGAAGGGGGCTGTCAACGATTCGTCTCTTTATTATCATAGTCTGTAGTGAGGATCAAAATGCACATGAATTCAATTTTATGACAGTTATGTTATCACATTTGTAGTTTTAGTGTTATTTTCTTAGAAGTCCGGATGTTCTCAGATAATTGTGGTGCGAGACGATTACAAGACGTGCTACCTCTTACATAGGTTCCAAAGAGCAACACAAGCCTAATGAAAGTAAACATTTCCACCACGCATTGGTAGACAAATGAGTCCAAAGGATGCACTAAAACTACGCAATTTTGGCAATAAACAATGCAATGGAAACCTAATCTATTCAAAATTGTTGGTTACTATGAACAAATGCTGAAAAAAATAATTTCATTCAATGTAACTTACTACCTCTGAATATTTATTAATTGTAATTGTCGGTAAGGTGGCCGGACAGACTGAATACCGAATAGGAACCGAATATTCGTGGTATCTCTACTAGTTGTGTTTGTATGGCCACAGATAGCAATTAGCTATGAAACTCTCCTTTCTGTGCCATAAATATTCGCCATTTAGACGAAGAACGTCGCATGTAAGTTATTCTAGTACCGTGATGAAAGAGGCTTTAGTGTTCCATGTTCAGCAGTCCTAGTCGGTGTTGCCGCGCACCATGCCAGCGGCCGCAGATATTCTTTGCAATTGGATCAATTGTGAAAAATATATTAGAATATAATCTAGTGTCGTTTGTGTGAACCAATAAAGAAGAGTCTGTCTATCTTTTTTAAATATTTCAAATATCGGAATTATCGCCCGATTGTACATCAAAAACTCTCCCTGTATGTAGAAGCATCCTAGTTGATAGAAGGCAAAACACTATATATGTCACTCTCACAAATGAAGTCACCGTTTTTAGAATAATTGCTCCATTCTATTAATTTATTATTTTATCATATTTTATTGTACGTTATTATATTTTATTAGATTTTATTATGTTCACTTATATGCTTATACCGTATCTCATGTATGATGGGCATTTAATTTTATTCTATTCTATGCTTGATATATCCTTGTCTTTATTGCTCACAACACATATGCAACTACCAGTTTTGTAATGTCATTTTAGTTTTTATTGTCCTTTATCTTAGATGTACTCTTTTTTAGTTTAGCCTTTTGATTTATGTTATTTATTATTGAATTTAGTTAAAATACCACAATGTCAGTTCAAGGTTTTCGCATTTCTACCAGTGATCGTGTAACACCAAATTATGTCAGTGCGTGCGTAAGAAGTGCATAGTGCATTAGCAAGTACTTGTTAGACTTTATTTATATCTGCGGATAGACAACTGACAATAATGGGATGGCCACACACAAGATTTTTCTTTCGTGGCATTACTTTTATTTGTCATTGATACTCCTTTGTGGCAACAGTCTTTGAAAATTTATATTTGCATAATTGAATTTGTCAAATAAATTATTATTATTATTATTATTATGATGTGCCAAGTCAGATTGCATTGGTTGTCACTTTGCTGGTGGTTTGCTCTCGTTTTTTTTCCGTGACAAACATACTGAAATCCTTGTGTCTCAGTGAATGTTGTGTTTGGTGTTTCTAACAGTCTTTAAAAAACAATGGATTGAAAATGATGCAGCTCCGAAGACTACAGAGCAAAAGTAAGTATTTTCTCTTTATTGTAAATACTGATAGCCTTCCACCACGACAAGTTTATTCAGAAACTCTTTGCTAAATGAATAGTCATCACTACACCGTCGCATCTTTTTGGATACTCCTTTTTATCATATAACCTATACTAGATCATATCGAAATATGATTTTTAGGATTGCAGAGTATTTGCAGTCGCTGGCATGGTATGCGGCAACACCGTCTAGGACTGCTGATCACGGAACGCTAAAACCTCTTTGATCGTCGTACTAGGAGAACTTACATGCGATTTTAGCCATCAGCGCCGAATGGCGGCCGTTTTTTTACATTGGCACGGGTGTTTCATGGCTGATTCTTATCTAAACTGTGGCATGGCCTTGTCTTGTCCAATGCCATATGCCAGACATTTGATAGTACAGAATGCTGGACTGAAAGTACAATTCGATATACTTACCTTGAGGAAGTAACATTGACGTAAACACCATCTTTAAACCACCGGAATGAGATCGAAGGCCCTCCACGTGCGACGCACGACAGGATGAACTCGTCTCGCTCCCGGATCGCTCCCGGCTGATTGATGGCGATGCCCTGGAATACAAACAGCGACAGTCAGCCGACCGGAGTCACATCTTAATTCGATATTGTGGAATCGGCTAGTGAAAGGGGGTAAGCAAGGGTTAAGTTGTTTCTACAAGATGAAGAGAAGAATGATTAGTCGTTCATGTAATGTTATGATGTTAGTCTGTAAAAGATACTCGTACTATGTTTTAAAAGATTATTACTTCTTATAAGGTCCCACGATCAAAACTATCGCAGCGATGTCCAATTTTGCTCCTGCTAGGCGGTGCTTGTGTAGTTGTAGGACAAAATCTCAAAAGTAGACAGAAAAAAAGATATTTGATAGAAAAATAACCTATTTTGATAACTTCATCATTTTTTGACGTCTATTGACGTGAACATTTGATCAGTGTTTGAGATATTTGTCTTATTATAACCTCAGACATGACTTCCAGCCTAACTAGCGTCATCTATATTTAGTTTTCCAGATTATCCTCATTTGAAAATTGTTTCTGTAATGTCCGGTTGCCCAGCCTTGTTAATGCAAACATTAAGCTTGGCTGAACCACATAATCAGCTATGAAACTTTCCTATCAGTGTTAAAAACGGCTGTCATTTTGTCCGGGAAAGAAGAATGTAAGTTGCCCCAGTACAACGATGAAAGAGTTTTTAGTGCCCAGCAGCAGCCAGTACACTATATCATATCGAATTATTATCATTTCAAGATTGCAAGGAATATCCGCAGCCGAGGTAACACCGGCTGCTGCTGGTCACTAAAACCTCTTTCATCGTTACACTCGGTGAACTTACATTCGACTTTCTCCGTCGAAATGGTGGTCGTTTTTGATACTGACAGAAGAGTTTCATAGCTGATTGTTATCTAAGCTGTGGCTGAAGTTTAAGTACCATATTTCTTTTCCACCCAATGCTGAGTGAACTTTAACAGTATGCTTACTCCCTATTTCACGTGTATCCATCGCGGGACAATGACAGCTAGTTATCTAGTAATATTTCAAAATTCCCCATATCGGCACAGGACACATAATTAATTCCGGGAGATCGGTGAACTCCAGGTAGACAGACCCGTATTTTGTTGTGGTTCTTTGTACGCTACAGATTCATTTTGTACTTGCTAACAACTCTTTTATTTAAAAAAGTTTCTTTGCTTACAAAAGAAGCGCAACAAGCACAATGGCTGCTAATGCCCATGACTACAGTTCAAATCAGGTAGGAATAAAATAAGACAAACAGTTTTTGACTATATCAATTATATCTACTTTCTGGAACTGGAAACACCATATCATCTTAAAGGGCAACGAAACAGCCATACATTTAGTTCAGACTGCATATGACCGAGTTGATATAGGTCCACTCCCTCAATTAAGTCTGAACATTACTTAGGTAATTCTAACAAGTAATAAAATAGAAAAATGTACAACTATTGCAGGAAGCCATGAAGTGTAGGTACACAATTGGGACAATGCAGTGCGAAAATAGGCATGGGCCAACTGTTGAGAACTCTGCAAAAATCCAAAGGAAACGCAAACGTCGCTTGGAAGCTGATAGCGCTTGTGGGAGGGAAATAAGAAATGTAGCTTATATTTTTTTAATTTTACATCAGTGCGGTATTTTAAACCAGGTGTATTCATTATTAATTTTTATGACAGGTTCTGCACATACTCAATATGTAGTTGAATTACGTTACACTGATGATGTACAATAAACCAGAAACATGTGTCTATATTATTTTTACAGGTAAATTTACAGCTTCTGGGAAGGACAGCGCAACCTGTTCTATTGACATACCATTTTATTGTCCCAAGAAATCGTGTTGATATAGTCTGACTAAAATCCACGGATCTGTCGAAAGCCAGATCGTTCTTTATAATGTTTTGTAAAGTTGGAATGAGAAGCAAAAACCTAACGAGTCCACCTGATAGGTGTTATGATACTCTTAGCATTTCGGCAGAATAAAGCCAAATTGTCAACAAATCGCTAGGGCGAAACGACTTAGAATTGTATGTTTATTTATTTATATCTCATATTTCCTACAGGCAAAACCCAATTACAGGAAAAGCTGAAATACATTAACAAATAGAAAATAAAGAGACACATTGAACACTTAAACTTAGCATCAATTGGCCTAAGGTAGCTCAGAGAACAATAGATAAATTATAGCAATTTATGATTGACTTACAGGTGTCATTATAAATATCACACAGATCACAAATAGAGTTCATCAGTCTGCACATTACATAAATTGGAGATTTCAACATTACGTTCGACCGGCCTGCTTTACAATAAAAGGCTGATTGTTGACAACTTTCAAGCCTTGGAATGCAGAAATATATTTTTTCAAGTACATCCGGATAGTCAATTTTATTGAGCATAAAGCCATATAAAAACGATAAGGTAAACATGTTACGTCTAATTGATAGTGAATCTAAATCGAAAAAATTCAAAAGGGTATGATGTCAGAAACATCTTTTTGGATAAGAACCAGTACATTTAAGGTTAAAATACTTAATAGCCTTACGTTGAATGCCTTCATTGAAAGTGAATTTTGTTATCAAAGGTTACTCCAAGGTCCTTAAAAGAGTAGCATCTGTCTAGTACCTGACCGTCGATGTTATAGTCATCATATATTAAATAATTAGCCTTTCTTTTATAAGACACAACTTTAAATTTAGAAACATTTAAACTAAGACAGTTTTTCGAGCAACATGAAGAAATTAAGTCTAAATTATCCTGCAGCATGAAGTAATCACCAACTGACCCGACCGATGCGTAAATCTTAACGTCGTCAGCCAAAAACAGATGCAAATACTTGAGCTCAAGGGACAAATCGTTAATAAAGATCAGGAACAATAATGAGCCTAGATTCGATCCTTGAGGCACCCCAGATGTGCCTGATAATCACTCGACCTATAACCACCATATTCAATAAACAACCTTCTGTCCATCAAGTATGAACTCAGGAGCGACAGCAGTCCCTCAGATAGACCTACGGTCCTAAGCTTATACACAAGTACATAATGATCAACTTGATCAAATGCCTTTTGGATATCTGTATAGATTACATCAACTTGTCTCCGAGTGCCTAATGCTTGGGAGATATACTGAGTAATCAGGGTCAAGTTGGTAACCACAGATCTGCCGCTCATGAATCCATGCTGATTGACAGAGATTGCACACTTGACCGACCAGTAAACCGTATTATAAACTACAGTATATTCAGATAAGAGATAGACCGGATGTAACCAACAGGTTCGGGTGATTTTCACGCTAACGCCGCCGTCTCGACGTAAAACAGGAGCCCTCATTGGTCAATTCGCAATTAAATGCCTATGCCGAGCGGCAGAGCAGTCGTATCAAGGCAGAGTCACATTCAGGTTCAGACGTGTTACGTATGTCGTGTGCATCATTGCAATTTGATATTTCTTTGGACGTTTTCGTTTGTTATCTTATTAAGTTGTTGAGTTTGTCGTTGTTATTGTTATACCTTGTTATTGATTGTTATTGTTATCAACTGCTTGCGCAAAATGCCCAGTAGTACAGATACTGCCGATGAAGTTGTAAACTCCTGTAGTCCACCTAGGAAACGCTCTAAAAAAAGACACCTGAGTGCAGAAATGAAAGAGGTCATTTTGAATATACGAGTATATAAGATCGAGCGCGAGGAGAACGAGGCATCAACCATCAAAGAAATTGTTGTGAAGGTTTCTCACAAAGTTGGGGTGTGTCGCGCATCAGTGTTTAATGTGTTAAGACAATACAAAAAAAATCACACCTTTTCTGAGCCAATGACCAGTAAACATCGCAAAAGTATTGTTAAATCATTGGATGAAGCTGATAAGCATGCGATTAGGAGGAAAGTGCATGAATTCTTCTTTAGGAATGAAATACCTACTATAGATAAAGTACTGCAGGAGGTAAATGGAGATACAACGTTGCCAAATTTCAAACGATCAACTTTCCATGCGTTACTGAAGCATTTAAATTTCAAATGGAAAAAACGGGGTCGTAATAGTTTACTACTGGATAGAGAAGAAATTGTGCTATGGAGGAGGGATTATTTAACAAAAATTGGGAAATATAGAAATCAAAACAGGAAGATTTATTATTTATTTATTATTATTATTATTATTATTATTATTGATGAAACGTGGGTAAACGCAGGACACACTACAAGTAAAGAATGGGTTGATGATTCTGTAACTTCGTCCAGGAGGGCCTTTCTAGATGGACTGTCCACCGGATTAAAAAATCCAGCAGGTAAATACGAGTAATAGACAACAATCGGATGTTTTTCAAACCTTGGGAACAAGGTTCTAAACATTAATTCCAGGGGGCAGATAAAACATATTACAAGTAACAAAACTTTTATAACTTTCGATGAAATGCGTGGATATTTTATTGTCATTTTCATTTGTTATAACTTTTTTAAGCCATGTTTTTATGCGTTTTCGATATTTCAATAATTTTTTAATATAATCTTAAAATATGTCGAATATTATAAACTTAAAAAAGTTACTAAGTTTTATATTGTGTACCGTTCCTAATATTTCTAATCATTTTAATTCATACTTTAAGCTTTATAAAGTTATAATTTGTTAATATTAATATTTGCGCGTATTTCAGGTTCCTGATCATTCATTTTTTAAAGGTATATAACTTTAAATTAAATTGTGAAGCGCTGAGTAATCATACGACGTTCAATATTCTTTCTTTCAATATGACTAAATAATCCCAATTATAGCAATCTGATACTCATGTCTCAATGTTTTTTCGCTGAATGTGATGAAAACATTTGAAAAAGGTTCGCTTATTGAAATAAATCTACACCAGTTAGTACTTCGATTTCCAAGTAAAGGGAAAAGGCTCATTATCTGCCATATTGGCAGTGAGGATGGATTTGTTGTTGACGGTCTGTGGTGCTTTGAGTCTAAGAAAACTGGAGATTACCACGAGGAAATGAATGACGAATCGTTTGAACAGTGGTTTTCAAAAATTTTACCGAACTTAGAGGAAAACGCAGTAATTGTGTTGGATAATGCGCCTTATCATTCTCGAAGAATGGAGAAGGTCCCAACAACGGCTTCAAGGAAAGTTGATGTTCAAAATTGGCTCCGCTCGAAAAATATCAACTTTGAAGAAGCAATGCTGAAAGTACAATTATTAAGAATTGTCAAGGATCACAAGGCGGAATATCAAAAATACGCCATTGACGAAATGCAGCAAGTCAAAATAAAACTGTGCTCCGTTTACCTCCATACCATTGCGAGCTCAATCCCATTGAGCTCATATGGGCAGAGGTTAAAAATTATATAGCTAAGCACAATACAACTTTTAAATTTTGTGACCT